TTCAAAATTACAATGCTAGTGTTAAGGAATTTAATCTACTTTTACATATAAATAATTTCACAGCTATAAAAGTCAAGTAGCTAAATGGATACTTCCTAAATGGATAGACTCGTTAGTCAAGTAGCTAAATGGATACACTCGATGGCATACTTCCGTTCCATTTGGCAAATATTTTTAGATGAAGAGACAAGTGCCGCTAGGCAGGTAGCTCACTCAATACCCTCACACTAAAACATAAAGTTATACACTGATATTTTAATAAATTAGAAATAAAAGAAAATCGCCAGTTTTTACATTCAAATACATACCTGCCAACTTTTAAGCCTATCGAGAATAATTTTTCCCAGTGGTAGTAAATTGGAATTTAAATTACATTTTTAAGCAGAACTTTTGCTGTATTTTTAAACAGCTTATGCAGTTTACCCTGACACTATTAAATATGTTTATATATATACTTAACTTTTTTAAAAATAGTGGTGGTTAAAAGGATTATAAATTAAGTTTAAAAATGGAAGGAATATATAGAAAGCATACATTTTACTATCACTTTAAATATAGAAATAAAATTTTACGCCAAATGCGTAAAAGTTGGCAGGTATGCAAATAATTAAAAAGATATACCAAAGTCCAGATAAGAAAAATATCAAATTCTTAAATTCAATTTATAAGTTTAATTAAAATTATAATCATTTCTGCCTTAGCTCGCTTGTTAAAATACTATTTTGTAAAAACCTCAAGGAAGGTATGCCTAATGCCAACTGCTCCGGACACGCCAAAAATAATTAAAAAAAGCAGTAAATAACTACAAAGTAAATTTTGCAAATATTTGACTAATTTTGCTTGCTTTTTAAATGGTACAGCATGACTAAAGTATTAAGTATTACAAAGTGGTGAATTATATAAGCCAATGAATTACTTAGAAAAAGTGGTGAATAAATATCTACTAAAATTGAATTTAATAAACCAGGAATCACAATTGATAAACTTCCACCTTAAAATATATATGTCCTGTCCGGAGCAAGTTGGCATCTCTGCTAATGAGTTAAATTTATAATGATAATATTTTAAAAAAGTGAGTGAGGCACAGAAAATTTATTTAGGAAGTCTGCCACCAATAAAGATAAAGAACGTGGATTTAAACTAGAGCAATACTTTGCTAACTAGGAAGCCAATTACCCGAAACTTATAAGTTGAAGTAGTATGTTAAAATCAGCTACACCGTGTCTTCTAAGCAGTTTGGGAATAAAGCACGTGTCTTTAAACTCAAAAAAAGTTTTATTACTTAACAAAGAAGGGAGACATGTCCTAATTTTCTCCTTAAGTGCAATCGCATCAAATCAAGAAATTTCTTTTTCGAAGTTGAAGCTAGAATTTTCTAACAATTTATCGAGGAAAGTTTCCGATTATTTCTTCCAAAAATAATCGTAATTGCCTCCAACGAAAGTATAATGACAAGTACGTCGAAGTTAATGGCTGGTATGGATGCTAATCCTTAGTTGTTATCTGAAGATAACAAGTTTGAGGAACTTGGTAAATGCTAACAAAAATGCGTGCATTTTTTTTTCTCCAGTTCTTCCGAGGTATTCTGAAGTGCGAACTTTAAGAATTAGTTAAAGTGTTGCTTCGAAGTTTTACGGATATTTTTAATAGGATTCCCGTTGTGTTAACGAGTCGAAATTTTTTTTCTTCCAATTTTTATTTCAAAGGAACAAAAATAAAACGGATTTCAGTTTCTTTTGGAGATTGCAGGAGGTGATTTACTTTTGGTGAAACTAATGAGTAACTGCCAACTTTTACGCATTTTGCGTATAAATTCATTTTTACATTTAAAGTCGCCGTAAAAATTTTGCTTCTTATATATCTCTTGGATATTTAATCTAAAATGATTTTGACCACTACATACAAATGAATTAACGCTTATAAAAGCGTACAATAGTATTTAAGAACTCTGAAAAAAGAATAAGAAAGATGTTTCCGCTTATAATTGCAATTAAATTTTTACTGGTACTTTCTTCTAAAACGTGAAAATCATCCTGGGAAAAATTATAAGTTAGCAGGTATGCATACGAATTATTTTTCAGAAAATGCGACGTTAGGGCTTTTTGCCTTTTGTCAATTTATTTTTTTCATGAAGAGTTTTCTTCAGAAAAAACATTATTCATGCTTTCTAATTACATTTCTTAAAAAGCATTAAATTTAATTTCTCATTAATATTATGACTCTAATTATAATTTGATATTAACCCTCTGAATTTCTCTTTAATATTTGATTTGACACTCACGATAGTAATTGTTATATTTTCATAATGAATACATATCTTCAACTATTATTCATCTATTGTGAAAAGCCGAATCATGGCCAAATCATTATGATACAAAAAAGCTTTGCGCCAATGACGTTTGTCAGGCACAATCTTTCCTACGTTGAAATGAACACTCCAAAGGTCAATCGTCTTCTTACATTGAACGGACTGTTTATATTTGTGTTTCCTTAACGTTGATTTTAGCCATATTTATTATAATAAAATTGGAGGTTAAGGCTTTAAAATTTCTTGAACAACGGTACGATAGTAGGAATGTAGTCAACTATATTCAGAGATGCTAACTGGTTCGGACACGCCAGAATAATTTAATAAAAAACGGTAAATAACTACAAAGTAAATTTTGAAAATATTTAAATATTTTTGCTTGCTTTTCAAAAGGTATAGAATGACATACGTGCTATAAAGCGGTGAATTTTATAAGTCTACGAATTATTTAGAAATAGTGGCGGATAAAAATCTACTAAATTGAATTTATTAAACCAAGAATCACAACTGATAAACTACCACTTTAAAATATATCTTTGCTGTCCGGAGCAAGTTGGCATTTCTGTATATTGTGCATAGGCCACCTTGACTTACAAGCTGGTTACTTACAAGCGTTACAAGCTGGTTCTAGTTAGATAGACTTCAAGCCACCACTATGGGCAGAACCCCAGTTCTTTGCAATGACAGTTCAGAGAACCGCGATGGCTCAGGGGATAGAGTGTTCGCCTTCCAATGAGGTGAACCAGGGTTCGATCCCGGCGATGGCTGATCGATACGAATTCCGCATCCGGCTTGCACCGACCACAGTGCTGACGTGAAATATCCTCAGTGGTAGACGGATCATGTGTTAGAAACCCCTTGCCATCAGGTTAACCGTGGGAGGTTCTCGTGGTCTTCCTCTCCATGTAACGCAAATGCTGTTAGCTCCATCAAAAAGTCCTCCACGAAGGCAAATTTTTCCCAATGCTCGATCCAGGAGTTCCCTTTTTTCTGGATTGGGTTCAAAATTACAAGGCTACGGAGTCGAGCATTAGTAGTCGTAAACCCATAAAATTGGGTCGGCTGTTCAACGACGGTTATAAAATGTAAAAAATAAAGTGACAGTTCAGAGCCTTAGATAGTGATTTTCTCAATATTAATAGTTAAAAATCAGCCTATATCAGCAAAATTAATTTCCTACAGTTATTTAAAGCATTATTGATTATGCTGATTGATGATGTATTTTAACTGATTTATCTCTGTGTTTTCCAGGTTTCTTCGAAAGGAGAATCTCACAGTACTCGTCACGCATCGAAAGCTGCTAATGAAACAAAAAACAGTTATAAGAAATTAGTACCTTGTGAGTACACTCTTTTTTAATACTAATAAAGATCAAATGAATATTCTTAATAACTGTTCTCCCTTACTGCGAAAAGTATCTGATAAAGGTACAGAGGTAAATTATACTCACGTTACGTTCTATGTAAAAATGCGAGTAAAATACATTTGACTGAAAAAATGACATTTATTTATTTATTTTTGACATAATTTTCTTAGACATTCAAACAATTGTGCACATTAGAGTTCCTATGTTTAACCAGTCAGAGACACAGGCAATATTCTCAGTTGTCAGTGATCATTAACGCGTTGAATGTCATGTGGGTCACCGGTGACCGGCCCTTAGTTTGGTCGTAGAGCCACGGCGGTCACCGGTGACCGGCGAAGCCAAGATTATTAGAAACACATAATTCGATTAAATTTTTAATTTGGACTACCAAACCAACGAACCACCTTGAATAACTTTTAATCTAATTATCAGATTTTCACATTCTAGTACTTCATCTTAATGGTTTGAAAGGGTATTCTCAAATAGGGTAATTAATACGATATTTATTCAGAGAAAGTACGTTTTTGAGGCTGATTTCTTAACTTAAAATAAGGTCTGCACTAATTAGTATATTTGAATTCACTCTCGAACCACGAGGATTGAGTCCTAAAATGGGAAGATCCAATCATTACATCAAAAGCTATTCAAGGTGATCAGTTTTTTATTTTACGTACTGTAAGTACAATTTACGTCTGGTTTATTATTGTCAATTCACCGGAAATGTTTCTGTATTTCCAGTTGATTATAATCGAGTGGTTTTGGAGCCTCTACCAGGTGTTCCAGATTCAGATTACATTAACGCCTCTTATATAGATGTAAGTAGAATCTCTAAAATGTGATTATATTTACTGTTATTTTTCACATGGATTTAAATCTTTAAATATGGTCTTTGTAGCTCTTTATTCTCTTTAAAGTACGTAAAGTGCCTTAAATCGAGGGTTAGTACAAAAATAATAAAAAGTATTATCAGAATGAAACAAAAAAAACTGTTTTAGTTTTACCAAACGTGTTTATCACCACGTTTTTTCCAAAGTAAAATATATTTACAATAAGATTTTAGACAAGATTTTTTCAACTTTTTAAAAATATCATACAAATTATGATCTTTACCTTTTAAAACTCAACGATTGAATGCGAAAGTGCATTGCTAAAATTTTTAATCGAAATTTGCTGTACCGGAAAGGGTTTATGGGTGCCAACTGCTCTTCCTTCGACCAAAGTTCTTATAAACTTTCCAGAAATTTGCTCTACGGGAAAGGATTTATGGGTGCCAACTGTTCCTCCTTCTACCAAAGTTTTTATAAACTTTCAGAAATTTACTGAACGGGAAAGGGTTTATGGGTGCCAACTGCTTCTCCTTATCAGGTCAGCTAAACTATGAATTAAATCTAATAAACATCCACATACTTGCCAACAATATTCTCTCTAAGAACGATTTTCTCTAGTGGCAGTTGATTTCAATAATAATTGATTTCAAATTGAATTTCAATAATAAGCAGAAATATATTCTTTATTTTGTTAAAAGAGTTCAAGAATAACAACATATAATTATAATACACTTATATAAATAATTCTACAAACTCTTAGTTCTTTGTAAACAGAAATGTTTAAACCAAACTTATAAAGAAAAACCATGGGATTTTTGGTCTTCGTATGCATGCTCTTTTTTCTTTATTTATTACACATAAACATGCAGCTCAAAGACGTAAGTCTTTGTCAAGGGAAGAATATACAACAAAACGATACATCTAGGGTTACAGTGAATTCGAATCCGCTATCTTCAAGCTGCAGAACATTTGGCGAAGGTGACAGAATGCCTCCACATGGTTTCAAACTCTTTAAAAGCTGAACCAGTTTGCGCATTAAACCAACTTCGAAGATGAAAATTCACGAAGGAATTTTATCTTATTTACGTATTTATATATTTGATACATAAATATGTGATGGTTTTCAAAGAAGAGTAAAAAAAATTTATTCTTTCGTCTAGATAAAATTAAGATGGAAAAGTGCTACCATTTTTTTTCACTGGATTTCTTCCATGACAACTGGATCTAGATCACTTTTATGGTGATCAGAACGGACTACTTATAATAAAAATCATGTGGAGGCTTTTCGTTATAGGAGGTTATGGCTAAAGAGATCCTGAAAAGCGGATGAATTATTGGAATTACATACTACATTTGCAGTCTTGTGGGCTCAATTTAGTTTCATAAACCTTTGCCAAAAGAAGGACAGCACGATGATGCATTCAGGGTAACAGAGGGATTTGAACCCGCTACCTCCACGCTAAAGTGGATGAATAAAACCCATGCAAATTAGTAGATAAAATTGTTTACAGTTTTAGTGGTTTGTTTTATTATCGAAAATAAGAGAGTCACAATTTTTATCCCACCTTATCTAAAATCGTTATGCAAATAGTTTGTAAAATGACTGTCACTTTTGCTTAAAAAATATATTGCAATTGCGTAATTTCATAATAAAATACAGGGCTATGCGAACTACTATGTTTTTTTGAAAAATCATTTATAGAGTGGTGGACAGTTAAAAACTCAAGTTTTACAGAATATTTGGTAATTTTGCCAACATTTCAAAAGATTCACCACGAGAGACTTCGAATAAAGTGGTGTTTCATATGCACTTTTGAATTAATTTCTAGAAGTGATGCGGAAAGTAACTTCACATCAAAGTTACAGAACAAAGAATCATACATGTAAATATAAAATTAACCACCACCAGAGATGCCAACCTACTCCGCTTTGTGAAAAAATATATTTTCTAATGGTAACGAATTTAAGTTATTTTTAGTTTTGCATTTTTCATTTTAAATAAATTTTCTATCACCACCTATCAAACATTCAAGGTATCATATCAAATGCAACTTTATTGCAGATATCATGAGGGGACACTTTTAAATTGTAAGCGTAATTATCTGCATTCTGTAAATTTCACCCCTTAACACGCTACCAATTTGTTAAAACTTTTGCAGAAAGCGGGCAATGTTTACCCTTTAACACGCTACCAATTTGTTAAAACTTCTGCCGAAAGCAGAGCAGTTAGCATTCCTGTACCACGAGAGTAAATGGTTCAAAAGGCATAGAAATCTGGCAAACTTGAATGTATATTTCTCGTTTGTGGCAACATAGACTGCGTTATTTCTCTAAATATTGGCAACATAGTTATTATTCATTTTGTTAGGCTGTCTTAACCCTTTCCAGTGCTGTGTAGTTAGTCTGGCAACACAATTTCCCCAAATGCTACAAACCACCAGCAATGTAAAATAAATTGATTTTAAACTTTAATGAACCACTATGAATTCTTAAATGATCCATATGAATACTCCTTTGCTTCATTTGCATTCCACAACCTCATCGAAGCACTAAACAGATCAAGCTCAAGATGAATTGGAAAAGGGACGCCAGCGGCTTTAGGTGCCCAGATATTTAATACAGTTTAAGTTTAATGAATTCCTAAAACGACAAAGAGCTGAAGTATGTTGCTTCACTTAGAATGTACTGCCTAAGATCGCGGCAGCTGATGAGTTGCCTGATTATAATTGTGTGTAAATGAAGTTATTTACGTTCGTTAACGATTAATTTGTTAATTTAAAGATTTTTTTATGTAACTTGTATTAATTAATGCATGTTAAGTATTCCATTAGGCGTCAAAGTTGTATTTTCAGGAACATTTCTACTTTTATATTAAAAGAGATAAAATTGGTACCTCAGTTGTTAAGGATCCTGAATTTGATTTGAAATAATATGAAATTTGTGTCCACCATAATATAAACTTCACTATTTTCTTCTAAAATCATACGATCTCGATTATTTAACACTAAATTTGTTCACTTTGCAGAGATGCCAACTGCTCCGGACACGCCAAAATAATTTTAAAAAAACGGTAAATAACTCCAAGGTAAATTTTGCAAAGATTTGAGTATTTTTACTTACTTACTTTATTTAAAAACAACTGGGCACCTGGGCCGCGCAGCGGCCCCTATCCCATTCATCGTGAAACTACAACAATGAGGTAAAAACATTTTGAATATAAGCAGTCGTTGTGGTAGCTTTACAATAATATTACCATGATTAGAGAAAATACAAACTTGAACTGAGATATTTACAGTAATTGCCATGAAAATATGTACAGAAAATATAACGTTGATTTGAAAAAATTACAACTTGAACAAAGATATTTACATTAATTGCCATAAATATGTACAGAAAATTGAATATGAGAATTAATAAATGATGATTATGTATATACAAAAGTCGTGATTCAAGAACGTGAAGATTTAACATAAATTTTCGACAAGCCTTAGTGGCGCCATCTAGTATGCTCAACTTTAATTTGAAAGGGCAGTATGCAGTATTTATTTATAATCTGTATGGAAAATTAGAGTTCTGAATAATAATAAGAGTTCAAATAAAAGTTCAAATCAAATAAAAAAAAAGATGTTACTGTGCAAGAGTGGCTTCCCCCATAATCCTCTGAAGCAGTTGAAGCACTTCTTGATTTTTTAAAAGTTCTTGCAATTCTTTAATTATTGTAACCAACCTTTGAGCAAGTCCTGTTGTTGGTGGTGGTATGGCACGTGTTCCCCTCCTGCGGGGACGGGCTCTGCACCCCGTGTAGTTGGCTGTATGAGAGTCTCCGCAATTGCTGCACTTAGGTTGTGTATTTTTATCTTTTTGGCACTCGTATGATCGGTGTTTGGCGGCGCACTTTACACATCTTGATGGTGAATTACATGATCTTTGACTGTGGCCAAATTCTTGGCAGTTGTAACACTGGATTGGATTTTGCCCGCCTCGGAACCTTTCAATACTGACCGGGATACTTTGTATATTGGTGATAGAGAAAATTTGTCGATTAACATCTGTTTCTGTGAGAATTGTGAGAAAAAGTGGGAGGAGCCTGTAGGTCCCGCCCACTTTTCTCTTAAACTGAATTATCTTTTGCGTTATGATGTCTGACTTTGCCAGTTCCTGGGAGATATGATCAGTATAGAATCCAACTGGAAGACCACGAATAAGAACTTTTATATGCTTAATTGGTTGAACTTTTGCTGGAGTTGTGGGTGGATCTACAGTTGAACTGGAATCCTCCTTGGGTGGGGCTACGTCAGTATCAGATATAGATTCAGATGGTTGTAAGGAGGTGGCGGTATCTATCGGTGAAAAAAGTTTACTATTCGTGGTCATGATTAGATTTGCTTCAGCTTTTTTGACATTATTTTTCTTTTTCTTCTTCTTCAAAGGGGGTTCTGCAATATTTTTGGTTGAGCTTTCTGAATCTCTGGTTGACTCATTCCCCGTCTGCTCCAAAAGTTGGCCGCCTTCATAAGTTTCCATATCAATGACATCAATTGGTGTTGTCGGTATTTCGGGCCTATTTGGCACAGGCATGAGAAACTGCTCCAATTGATTTAGTTTCTCAAGTAGTTCTTTATTTTTCCTTTCATCTTCTTTAATTCTTCTTTCCATGTCTGCTAACTCTTTAGCCATTTTGGTTTCAAAATCCGAGCATTCCTCATCCGACGTTGAGCCACGTGCAGGTCTTTCGGTCAGCCGCTTTCCGCCACGTCCGTGGTGGTGATACGTAGCCATTGTTGCGTGATTGCAAATATTAATTTCAGCAGTGATGTTAACGTAAATTGAAAGCTACTATATCGGGCAGAATCATTTAACTTAACTTGCATCTACTTATACTCTTAAGTTAATTCAGAATTAGAAAAACATACATGATTGCAAGAGTATGAAATAGGTATTACTCACTCAAAAGACACCAATGAAAATCCGAAAGTTCTACGACCTCC